GGTAATTGAAGATCTTTAGATGCATCTTGTTTTTATATGGTACATCAATCCATCGTCAAAGTTAATTTGTCTAATGTCTGGGAGCTGAGCTTCTAAGTAAAGATTATCGGTTGGATATGCAATCTCCTTATCAGTCTTAGTATCCACTTCTATGTGATTTTAATCTTTTCATAGTGATTGTTCATGAGTCCTCCGCATGCTAGTATACCGTATGATAGAATAGGACAGACAAGAACCGTGGTAGTGAATATATAGATACTGTTTGTTCAAAAAATCGCGTAAATACTTGAATTTTAATACATTTTAGTCTTTACACTAGGACTTCTGTGTGTGTATTCCACTTTAAATTTTTGTCTAGTATTAAACCTGAGTATTTAATTTTATCGACTAATTGGATTTCTTTATGGTCATACTTTATTTGAAATTTGTGTTTACTTTCATCACAAAAGAATGTCATAAAGTATTTTTTTGTAATTTATAGTCATAGTTCTTTCTGAAACAAATTTAATAACTTTTGTAAAATTATTATAATTTCAGTGTTTAAGATGTACCAATCACTGCTGTGTCATCAGCGAAACCGATAATTTTGCCAATGGGTAATATTTTTAGTATGGCCCAGCTACGCGGCTACATTTGTCTGACTTTTCCAATATATTTCGCTCATCGGAATCCCACTTGATGTAATATAATGTAATGAACACGACGCGAACAATTTCGTCAACGATTCTCATCCGGTTCCATAGCTTGTCTGATGAGAAATTCTGATAGATGTGTGTATTTCGACCTATTGCGGGCCAAATTGCGAAGACATGTGCTTATCTGGTCGTAAGCTTCAATAAGATCATGATGGCTGGACTACAGTTACCAATATCATAGTCAAATGTTGCAACATTAGTATTGTTCATTTAGAAGCTCTTCAACACTCATTCGTTCACACTTGTGGCTTGTGGACGTTAAAACTATGTTTTGACACGAATACAACCATCTGCCTGGGCTATGTGTTCACAGCTAAAGTGATTAGAAATATTTTAAGCGGTGGACTTAGCTAAAAATACATAGAAAAATCTTATTAAAATAAGACTGGTTGTACGGTAAGGTCGTTCCGAGATGTTTTGCCTTAATTTAGAACAACTTCCTTGTCGACCTATAACTGGATATGATACTTTTAAAAGCGGTATTTAAAGGACTTTTTTCACTACAAACAAGCCCTAAGGTTTGAATAATGTAGGAAGCAGTGCAACTCAAAAATGAAAAGGTTTCAGTGTTGAAGAAAGTAAAGACGAATCTGTAAATATAATACTTTAAGTTGTGATGTATATAATATTATTACTTGGAAGAAATTTATTGTATTTTATTAAATATATTGTGAAAAATTACACAGCTTTTAATGAGTCGGTTGAAAAGTACTGAAAAGTGCTTAGCCTCTGCTGAACTTGTGCAGAGTTAGTCATATTTGATGATGTTGATCTGGACTGATATCTCAAGTTTTTTATATTACCATTCGAATTCTATACTAAAATTAATTATGACAAAGGATCAGCTTATTTTAGATATATTTTGATCCCCTCTAAAATGCTGCGACTACGAGTATCATCTGGCCCTTTTTTGTACGGAGAAGCTTGTCATATTCTTTTCTACGAAACTAGACTCATTTGTAGTAAACGTATTTGGAATAACAAGAAAAATACTAGAAATGTTACTTTTATGGTACAGTTTAAATGGTTTTATTTTAATAAAAGTTGGTGAATATATATTTATCTTACTGTAAATAACAAGTGAAAAAATTTTCAGCCTTATCAGTTGGACAATGCGGTTTTATACTGCTTTTTTTTAATTCACTAACGCTCTAAAAATGAATATTTCAGCCGCACTAAAGAATCAACGTTGGCGGATTTTGGTTCTTGACATCCTTTATGATCGGTTACGATGCATAGAGTACGGAGACCTGTACGATTTCGTCAACTTAGTGAGTTTGATAGGGGCCGTATAGTGGGACTTCAGGAAGCTGGACTTTCTTTTCGGGCAATTGCAGTTAGAGTGCAAAGAAGTGTAGACACTGTGGTTAGGTGTTGTCAGGTATGGCTTCGAGAAGGCCGTACGCAAAGAGCACTGGACGCCGCCGTAGAACAACAGACTGTGAAGATCGCCGCCTAAGATTATTGGCCTTAAGGGACCGTTTCTCCACTACCAGGAGGAATCCACAGTTTTTTGTTGAAAGACATGTTCATCACACTGTTGGAGTTATGGTTTGGGGTGCTATAGCTTATGGTTCCAGGTCACCTTTAATCTTCATCAGAGGTAACATGAACGCGCAGCGTTATATCCACGAAGTTCTAGAACCCCATCTTTTACCCTATCTTGACACCCTGGCAGATCCAACTTTCCAACAAGATAATGCCCGACCACATGTTGCAAGAGTCACAATAGACTTCTTTCAACATAATGATGTCACATTGTTACCATGGCCACCAAGATCTCCCGACTTATCCCCAATTGAGCACGTGTGTGATATGATGGGTAGGAGATTGCTCAATTTGCAACGTCCTCCTCAGACTCTAGAAGCACTTCGAGAGGAGTTGGTGGTTGCCTGGAATGAGATACCACAGGAGGATATTGACCACCTGATCAGAAGCATGCCTAGGCGCGTTGGAGAATGCGTAGCACATCAGGGTGCATCCACACATTATTAAAGGTCAAAGGGCTTTAAAGCAGTGCAATCATTTTTATAATTTACTTATTATGCCTCATTAAGTACTTATACAAAATTTTATTAAAATAAAACCATTTAAACTGGGTGTTCGGATTTATATGTCACTTAGTATACATCCAACTTGCGAAATTGATCTTGTAACCTGCAAAACATGAATTAGTACTATCATATCGTGTTTAATTACATATTAAGCAAAATATCTCGTACTGGTACAAGTTGAAGTAAATTCACTTGTAATTATTACACCATACTTTCAATGGAATAGGCCCAGTCCAGACAGTGCTTGGATTGGGGCACTGCTCTCATTTTTGGAGAGGCTACTGTCACAACTACACCATATCTGATGAAGTTTAGAAGAGGGAAATCCGACCAAGTGGTAGCACTCAAGACAGAATCTCATTCTCATTGTCAACCAGTTGGTGATTACGCTCTTATCTACGCGCCCCTGGGGCTATCGTTTCCTATATCCACTATAATAAAAGTCACGAGGCCTCTGCTCTACGTTTGACGTTCTCTACAAATTTAGAATTGACTGATACGACTGCTATTGGAGTGTCGAAAACATAGACAGGGTGGAGTTCCAAATCTTTTTGATAATAAGTGGGCTTAGACCTGAATCTGGAACATTTCGTATCTTGTAAGTTTTTTTGTATTGGCGTAAGAGTAATTTGAAAGTTCCATAATCACTGTTTACGTTAGAGATGGTTTTTCTGTCTGTTGTACACCCTAAAATCTTTTTTCGCCTATTCGTCAACTTTGTTTAATAGTATTCTTACTATTTGTCTAGAGAATGAAATCACATGTATTTAAAATCATTCTTTAAAGTATACGTCACAACGGTGAGCTTCTGCAGTACATGACACTCTTTTACAATATCTTATTTATTTGTCTTCCGGGTGACACTTCGTTTGCTTTTTCTTGTCATTTGGAGATTATTATGCAATCTGTTACTACAATAACCAGGAAGATCCGTAACATGCAGAGATTGCGCGAAGTCACCATTACATAGTTTAAGATGGCACGACGCAGAGCCTATGAAATATCAAAAAACGAACTTTGGGTGACTTTCATCTTTTCTTCTTCCAATGACCTTCTAAGTAATAAAGGGATCAATGATTGACGGACATGCAGTTCGACGGGATTGAGTGAGATGGTTTTTCGCGATGAACATAATAATAAAAATTAATAATAATAATAGGAATAATAATATGTTATTAAAAGATCGAATCAGCCGTATCAATATGTACGTGTGGTCTGGGTAAGTCACCACGGACCGGTCGGCAAGAACGCCGAGCTGCAAAAAGTGATTCACATAGATGTTGTATTTATTCGCAGTTCACCATTCGATGTAGAAAGTGGTACTTGTTCTTGTACGTTATTAAAAGAAGTTTGTTCAAAACGCATAGTTCGCTTAATTTACAAGAGGCTGTACTTTAACAAATAATAATAATAAAAGTATATGCATGTTTGCACTAGAACATATGCAAACATTTCGGAATCGAAGTATCAAAGAAGTGGTATGATCACATTGCTAAAGCTGTTGAAAAACGTAATGATGTAATGATGTAATCATTTGGGACCAACAAATTCAAACCGATAGCACAATATCGGCCAACAAGCCAGATGTTGTGTTAAAAGACTTTTTCAAAAAGCAGTATTACATAATTGATGTGGCTATATCATCGGATGCATCTGTAAAAGAAAAAGAATCTGAAAAAATGTTAAAATACCAGGAACTTAAAATTCGAAATACAAAGAATGTGGGGATTGAGAGCACAAATAGTACCAATTTTCAGCACCAGGTCTTCAAGATTCCCGGTAACGAAAAACAACATACCATAAACACCCTACAAAAAGTAGCGATAATGGGAACGGCACACATAATTAGACGTAGTATATCATAAATACACCACAGTGCATTCTTTCTCAAGGTCTAGGCAAGACCTTGAAGAATAGCATGATTCATCCAGGCGTTCGACGAACATCCACTATGCTAATGGAGTGTAGTTCGCAAAATAATAATAATAACAATAATAATAACAATAATTAACGTCTTTTTTATTTGTAATAGTATTACAGTAGGCGAGATTTAGATGCTATCTCTATTCTACCACCTAACTATTGTTAGAAACAGGGATGGTCAAACACTAATTTTCCACCAATCAACTTGTATTAACAACAATAATAATAGCACAACGATTTAACGTAATTTCGGAGCGGCAGATTATCCGAGCACGATATGCACTGCTCAACGTTACAGCTCGCTCTGCCAGAGTCGGCGGGCGATCGTCGTTCCCTCAGCTACCACAGAGCAGCAACTACACAGCAGTACCCCCTCGTGACCGGCAGCGGCTCGCCAAAATTTTTCGTTTCTTACACGGCCTTCCTGACGGCTGCGACGTTCTCGACGCCCTCTGCACCACAGGCCGAATCTGTGAATAAAAAGCATATGCAAAACACTCCGTGTACTTGCCACAACTATTATCTCACAAATATGATTCAAATCTGAATCAACCACTACCGGTACTAAGACCAAAATTCACAATTCGATTACAGAATTGCACGTAAATTCAATTAAATAAACCTTTTAACAGTGACGGCGATAACCGTCTCATTAAAATAACAACTCTAAAACTTCAGTACTAGTAGCTCTACTACTAACAAGACAATGACCAAACTTACAGAATCCCTGAATACCTCAGCCTTCAGCTGGCTCTGCTACTGACGAGACAGAGACCAAAGTAACAGTATCCCTGAAGACCTCAGCCTTCAGCTGGCTCTGCTACTGACGAGACATAGACCAAAATAACAGTATCCCTGAAGACCTCAGACTTCAGCTGGCTCTGCTGCTGACGAGACAGAGACCAAAATAACAGTATCCCTGAAGACCTCAGCCTTCAGCTGGCTCTGCTACTGACGAGACAGAGACCATGTTACAACACCCCTGAAGACCGCAGCCTTCAGCTGGCTCTATTACTGACGAGATAGAGACCAACATTAAGCAAGACAGCACATCGCAGAATGGAACCAGAAATTTACTGACCTGGTTCTTCCTCAGCCTCCAAAAACTCAAGTATATCTCCCATATCAACATTGGAGGACCACTGTACAGGCCATGATCTTAGCTGTTCCTTAGCTGCCTTTATTATGATGGTTGTTCCAACCTTCTTAATCTCATAACGTTCATTTTCCAAGCACTTAACCACTTCATAAGGACCAAGAAACTCATAGTCGATCTTGCTGAGAGTCCCGGTAGATCTGTACAAAATCACCGACTGAAAATTGCACTTTTTCCCTTCTTTTTTCGTTCAGTGTTGTAATTTTGTGCGACGAATAGCCTTTTCGCTAATCGCTGTCGATCCAAATCTCGGTTGCGCAAAGGAGTTAGATCCTTAGATACATCCTTCAATACAGCTGGTATCATCGGAGTCGAGCTTCAGATACCCAAAAGCAGCTGCAAAGGAGTTGCATTTATGGATTTTTGCATAGTCGAGTTGAGAACAAGTTGGATCTTCCATAGTCCGTTTGGCCATTCTGTCCTTATTTGGGTTTCAACTCTCATAAGATTTCTAATGGTTCGCATATAGCGTTCCACCTGCCCATTTCCCCTATGCACATCTGGAGTTATAAAATGGTATTCGATGCTCCATCGATCCAGGTACTTTGCAAATGTGTTTGGGAGATCCAAACAGCGCTAGAACATTCTGCAGCTTTTCACGCGCCTCTGCAGTTGTCACAGACTTCATAGGCTTCAAAATGCAGTACTTAGTAAAAGCATCCACCATTACCAAAACGTGCTTATAACCATCAGTTGAAGCTAGTAAAGGACCCAAACAGTCCATGTGCAACGTATGAAATGGCTCCTTCGGTATGTCCACTGGTCGTATGAACCCCTGTAGAGGACCTGTTCTTATCTTTTTACTGCACAAATTACACAGTGCTTGACGTAGCATTTGATGAAGTTTCTCATCCTCGGAAACCAAAAATGTTGAGCGATAGACTCGTATGTCTTTTCGGGTCCAACATGACACTGCTCATCATGGAAAATGCGCAGTAGGCCTAAACGACTTTGCCTAGGAACGAACCATTGCAAATTTGTCGTACCATCTGCATTTACTTGCTTGTGATAAAGCATTTCATCCTTTTCAGCATACTGGTTTGCATCAAGGTTGCCTTCTCTAAGTTGTCGTAGCATGTTCTGAACTTCTTCGTTTCCTTTTTGCTCTATGTATGCCCAACTGTTATGCGACACTCGGAGAATTGTTTGTGCAGGATTTCTGCTCAAATAATCGACATGCGGAAGACTACTTCCTTTTCGGTAGTCTTTAAGGTACACCCACCAGCGAGCTATTCGGGGTACCAGGTCTTTCTTAGTGGAGGTTGCCTTGATGGAATTGCAGTCAGTAACGATGATGAATTTAATTGGAAGCAAGTAAGTCCGGAAATGTCTCAAGCCTTAAACTAACATATTGCTAAAGTCTCCAACTCGTAAGAATGGTATTTGGCTTCACAGTCAGTCGTACGCTTACTGAAGTAAGCGACTACCTTGGACTGGTTCCCATGTTTCTGAAGCAAAATAGCCCCATATCCGATACTGCTTGCATCAGTATGCAGCTCCATCGGAAGTTCCTTGTCATATACAGCAAGCAACGGTCTTGATGTTAGATGATCAATAACATACTTCCTTGCATCTTCCTGCTCTTGACCCCAATAAAATGGGACCCCTTGCTTGGTTAGTCGAGTTTTGCATGCTGTCCGACTGGCGAATTCAGGCACAAACTTACGGAAATAACCTGCTAGGCCCATAAACTGGCGTATTTGTTTCACATTCTCTGGTACCGGTGAGTTCACAAGTCCTTCAACTTTGGCTTTCTCAGGTCTTATGCCATCACCATTCTCTGCCCAGTTACTCCAGAGTAGATGGGAGAAAACGACATTTCTTGATATTCAAGGAAAAACCTGCAGCACTAAGCGTCTCCAAAACTCGTCGCAGATAAGCCCTCTTCTGGCGTCTTACTCGGGATCAAAATGTCATCAAGGTAAACTAGAGCAATTGAGTCTTTCAGGCTTCCTAAGGCTAGGTTTACAGCTCTCGGAAATACCGCAGGTGCATTATTAACAAGGCCAAAGGGCATTCGCAAATATTCAAAATGGCCATCTGATGTTATAAATGCCGTTTTGTGGATGGATTCCTCGTGAATGGGGATCTGGTGAAATCCCGAAGCCATATCCAAAGACGTGAAGTAGCGTCCCTTTCCAAGTCTGTCCAGTTGATCGTCGACCAGAGGCAAAGGAAACCTATCCTTAATTGTGATGTGGTTAAGCTCACGATAGTCGGCACACATTCTAAATGAGCCATCTTTCTTTTTCACAAGTAATACGGGACTTGCGAATGGTGACTCACTAGGCCGTATAATTTTATTTTCCACCAAATCATTTATAATATGACGAACATCATCCTTTTCATTGGCCTAGTCGGTAAGGAGTACGATAGACGACAATATCCTTTTCAAGACGAATTTTCAGGCTGACATTATTCACTGCACCAACCTTATTGCCTGTTGTAATCACGCCACTAAAATCTTGCAGTATAACTTCAAGACCTACGCGATGTTCTCCAGGTACTTCAACTTCTATGACTTTAGCACCAAAATCTTCTGAAACCCGATTTATGCCAGGCAGCTGACGTCGCACAACGCGTGATCCTTGGTGATCTGTTATAGTGGCGAAACTTTCATCTTCAAAAATATTACGCCCCACCAAAACATCATAATCGAGACACTCGCCAGAAACAAAAATAAAACACATCGGAATATCAACACCAGAAATTTTCGCACAAGCCGTAAACTTCTTTGTAGCCTTAATTGTAACGTTAGCTAGTCCTATTAAAATAACATTGCAGCTAACAACCTTATTATCAAATAAGTAGAGGAACTTATCAGATATCAATGATAAATCAGCTCCAGTATCAACTAAACAGACAAAATGATAACCATCAATTAATATTTCGGTGGACCCAACTGGTTTTCCCCTAGACCAAAATTTATGTTGCGACGTTTATCAGTAGCAGCTTTGGTAAAGCAATTCGATACGCTGTGACCTTTCTGAGCACAAAAACTACAAATTTCAGAACTATGAGATGTGCTTGGTAAGTCACGCTGACCTATGGAATTGTATCTGTCGTCTGATACCAATTTAGTTTTCTTCACACAAAATCTACTTGTTCTGCTGACCTCTGGGACTGCATGGGCTTTACCAATTCTGCTACCAGCGACTGGGTGGGGTCTTCGTCTGTTGAAGCCATCGTTAAATTGAGTTTCCTTATCAGAAACACCAAGACTTGATCCAAACACACAACGTAGCACAGTCTTTTTTTTAAACTATGACGCAGCAATCACAACGATGTACCGTTATCCTTTGTTCTCACAAGACAAAGAAAACGTCAATGTTTTCAAAACAAATCACAATCCACTGTGGTCGTCTGGGCACAATCCCGCTTCTAATGTTAGACACAGGGATGGTCAATCACTAATTTTCCACCAATCAACTTGTATTAACAACAATAATAATAGCACAACGATTTAACGTAGTTTTAACGAACAGTTTTTGAGCGGGCCACGAGCGGCTCGGCTCGCATATGTATACGCGGCTTAAGATGTCTAAAATGGTTGCTAATTCGGAAACGAATTTTTTTCGATCAGAAATGCTTCCACCAAAATTGTCGTTATTTCCCTGGCTATCACACCAATACCTATGCTGGAAGATAATGATTAAAGATTAATTGCGTGACGTCCTCCGGGCAACAACACCAGTGAACAGCAAAGGACTCCATTATCACAGGTAGATTTCCCTTGTATCTCCTAGTTTCTGGGTCTCCGAAGGACTAATCCCCAGAGAAAAATGGAAAGGGAGAAGAAATTGTTTTGTACTTCCGGGAACATAAATCATTCCGGTCCAAAGGGATGTGCTGTTGTCAGGAAAATTAAATAAAAATATTATCACAGGGACACGCCGTCCTTCTATGAAAACGAAATTCCTTTATATTTAAAAGAGATAAATCATCCCTAACTTGCGTAAGTGAAAGTGTAAACAGGAATGTTAAATGGTGGGAGGATGGTCTTTAATAAAATGATAATAGGCTGATTTGAGGGCGCATTCGATTTAGATACATGCTTATAGCTGGGAGTAATGAGGTGTTAAAACTGCTAAGGCTAGATGAGCAATTTACAACAGCCCCTAAAATTTGCCTTTTCATGGGTTAGTACCATCGAATAAATACACAGAAAGATATTACATTATGCAGCGTGTTTCAGAAAAACGTGGATATATTTTTAGTGTAGAAAGTATATCCAACAATAACAAAAAGCTCCTACGCTACTGATTAGACCGAGTATCTTATTCAAAGCACAAACATTGCCCAAATAATGGTATGGTGAGATACAATAATGCTTCTATTATCCTACATACAATTCTCAATATCAATCTTGACTAACCTCAGCTTATCTTCAAAGTAGAACGAATTGGAATATTGTATACGAATTTTACTTGAAACATTCAAACCAGTTTTTCTCCAAAAAGAGTTGTTTCAGTTTCAATGTACAGCACTGGTATAGTCTCACGCATGAAAATTTTAATGTTTTAATATGCATTGGTTACTTTGAAGTTGAGTCATTAATTTTCAGATAATGATTGTAGAAGGAAGATAAACCAAAATATGTGTGTAAAAATTAAAAAAAATAAAAAAAAATGTTACCTTGCTTTATAAAGTATCCTCCCGACAAGTATTTCAGTGCGGACCTGTATTTGATCGTGCGGTCTTGGAGCACCGGAATGCTCTCCCGTGTGAGGTCTTAAGTCACCTGATTCACGAACCCTTTGTACTACATTAACAAAGGCACGAGGGGTTGGTTGCACTCGATTGGGAAACCGATCCGCATAAATACGTGATGCCGCGGCAGCATTTTGTAAAGACCCCCCCCGTAAATAAGAATCATGTCCACAAGTTCAGCATTTTCATAAACATGTGCCCTTTTTTATTTCGTTTGAGCCACGCAACAAACACCACTATTCACTCACGCGTTACCGACTGACACATTGACTGAATACGACTGAATAAAATTGTATTAAAAACATCGTTTCAAATTCTTTCGCTTTCTTGTTTCCGATGCGGCGGATTATATCCATTGTTGCCAAACACGAGCACATAATGTTATTACTGAGACAGGGCGGTACTCAAACTTCTAAAGGGCTATAACTTTGTTACTTTAATTTTAGCACAAAAATGTTAAAGGAAAAAACATTTCTTTTGATCAGATCTACTCACTGTTAAAATAAATTACTCAACTTCGAAGTCACCCTGTATAGTAAGTACTACGTGTACAAGTTCTTGAGACAATGGGTGGTATTAATAAAGTTAAGCACCTGCTTTTTACTTGAAATTTTGGAGTACGTGCTTCACTTGTTATGAATAGAATGATAAAGAAGGTGCTCAAGTAAGAAGCACCTACTATTTTTGTAAGTATGTTCTTAAAAGTAAGTATCTGTTTAAGTTTCGGTATGAATAAAAAGGAGGATGTGCTAACGAGATGAAGCAGCTACTCAAATAATTTTAAGTTATCTGGATAGGATGCTCAGCTCAACATTGCAATTTTGAATAAAAAATTATAAACATTTTTTAATTGGCGCGTTCGTTTTCGTTCAATTGCTGGATCACGAATTAAAATAATCTGAAAATAAATTTGTTTTCCATTTAGAGGAAATTAAACGATTCCGGCAAAGACTTATGTAGGGGTATTATGATTGGCATTTATTGGTCCAATTTCAACAACAATTAAAACAATTGTCGGAATAAATGTGTATTTTCAGTTGGATTATTTTAGTTATTTTTTAAGCAATTAAGCGAAAACGGATGCACCAATTAAAAAATTTTACTATACTTTTCTGTTCAGAATTTGTTGCAATTTAAAAAAAATATTACTTTGATGGCTACTGCACAAACTAGCAATGCTGTACACATTTTTTGAGTTTCCGGAATTGAAGTAGCGTTTCTTGACACCAAATAACCCTGGCTGCTTTCTGCTCTTCAGTCAACAGGTGGGGTATCCAACGAGAAACTAATTTTCTTACTCCTAATTCTTCATGTAAAATTTTTTGAATTGAGGTCTTTGAGATCTTCAAGGACGTCTGAATCTCGCGATATGTCTCATGTCTATCTTCAACGATGAATTTGCGCACAGCATCGACGTTTTCCTGGGTGACTTCCGTTTTTGGTGCACCCACCCTGGGATCGTCGCTAAGACTGAACCGCCACGTTTGAATTGTCCATACCAACGGGAAATTGTGGACTGATGTGGCGCTTCGTTGCCGAAAACAGACAGTAACTCGGCAAGGCATTCTTGTTGCGATAATTGTCTCTGAAGGTTGTAATAAATTATGGCGCGAAAATGTTCTGGGTTGAGTTCCATTTTTCTAATGACTTGGTGACACTTAAAAATTCACTGTAGTAAGAACACTGCACGTATAGTTGTGAAACTTTGAATTTAAGTTTACTAAAAAGTGAGGTTAAGATTCAGTCCTGACGTTCGATCCGCGCGGCCTACTATGTTTCTATATGCAAAACTTAAAAGACATCCCTCGTAGTCTACCTTTTATCTCCTCGATTGCATTCGCCTTTTTTTCTTTTAACTCGGGTATGTTAGACTTTTCCAAAAGTACTGGAAATTTTTCATTAATACTAACAAAACTTAACATTTCACAAGTTTTCCCGTTGGCGTTGGTATCCTCTTCTGTATCCATTGTTGTAAAATATATCCACTGATAGGACCTAGGACCATCGCACTAAATATCGCGATGCGGCACGCATATTATAAAAAACCTGTCGAAACTCGCAAATATCCACAGCGCCAGCGGTATTATGGGAAGCACGTACTCACAAGGCCGAAGCAGGTGCTCCATTTTTACATCAAAATTCTATTAAAATACCAAATGTAAGCACATGCTCACTTTTTTAGCATATACTCAGTTTCTTCTTAAGCACGTACTAAGAGCATGTACTCACATTTTATTAATACCTTCCATTATCTTAGTCCATCGTGAGAATGTATATATATAAACCGAGATAAAGGGCTCTGCAACATCAAAAATATCTGAATACCGTCCGGTAGCCGCGACATCCCCCAGTGGTACTAGTACACTAGCTCAACCCGACGACAGAACTGGGTCGGGGTCAGTGTGTCAGGTCAGTATGCAACCTTCAACCGACGGTTACGGTCACGCGTGTAGAGATAATCGCGTAGACGAGAATCCCTCAACAAGCACTAGAGACGTGGCTAGAGAAGTGCAAGTATCAAAAACTAAAGTGTGGCAAACGCTGCATGAAGAGGAGCTGTATCCGTTTCACGTCCAACGTGTACAAGCCCTTCAACCTGACGATTTTCCAGCAAGAGTGCGGTTTTGTGAGTGGTTGTTGTATCAACATGACAATAATCCGGACTTTTTGAAGTGCATATTGGTGACAGACGAATCTACGTTCACGCGTAATGGGGTGAATAACTTTCGCAACACTCATGTTTGGTCAGTAGAAAATCCGCACGCTGTCGGTCGGGCACATTTTCAACAAACATTTTCGGTGAATGTTTGGGCTGGCATGGTGAACGGTATGCTCATTGGACCATTTATTCTCCCAAATCGATTAGACGGGATGCAATACCTAGACTATTTACGCAACATTTTGCCTTCCTTGTTTGCCTGCGTCTGCTCGGTAGCGCATCAGCTGATTTCATTTCCTGTTGGAGCGGTATGATTTCTGGCAGAGACGTACTTAGCCCTTCTCGTCAACTGGAGAGTGAGTACTTTTTCCTTTATCTTTTTTTACTTGGTCGCCCTCGTTTTACTACACATTACCTTTGTTATTTCAAGGTAGTTGTTTCTGAAAAGGAAAACCTCAACTTTGCGGACACCCTGTATATATATTTTCCGATTTTGGAATTATACCTTTATCACACTGTAAATGCTATGGGGGCACCTTAGAACCCATGTTTATATAAACTTTTCGTGCTACTTTTTGTCCTACTTCTAATGCAACAATCCGTATGGCATATTATACATGGCTTTATATTGTTTTGTTCTTTGACAGGCGCAGTTAATATAAATCTCCGATAATTCCCATAATAGATCTGATCCACAGTTCAAATTGTAGTTGGCTACTACTAGAACTAATATTAATAAATTCAAATTCAACTGCATTGCATGGGACTCACAAATGGTGCAGTTTAGTTATTCTGACTATACCTTAACTAATACTAC